TGGGATAGAAATGGCTGCTTTATTTCATGGCATACAAGACATAAGTTTAACATTCTACTCCTTTAAGATGAAATGCAAAGGTGAGCTGTGGCCAAAACTCTTGATATTTGGCTTTGAAATAAATTGTTTCGGCGCAATTTTAAACAAGATTACATGTGAATAATTCTTGATCAGAAATTTCTTTTCCAGAATACTAGCACTGTTGGAATACTTAGAGAATTTTTCATTATAAGGCCACTAATGAGACTTGTCTTGGGAGAATTTTGCGAAGAATGAGAGCAACAGTTGTGCCATTATGTACAGGAAGCCACATTTCACCTCTAGGTCCTCCACATCAACCGTTGCGAGCCCGGTTTGCTGTCGCCCGAGCACAGTCTGGGTAACCTGAAGGACGAATTCATGGCCTAATGAACATTTTCCCTTTAGCTATTGAAACAAAAAATCCATTTCCAATGTTCTTTTTCATAAAGGGATATTTTCTCTTTTCTCATTCTTGTCTTGACAGGTACCTTAACATGCGGAATCTTCTTAAAGTTTTGACATGCACAGGCCTTGAGCAGGGGCCAAATTTTTTCCTTGATTTTGAAAGTGAGAAGATGATTTTATATCTATTTCTCTTTGCCTGCAGTAGACTGCGTTTGTCTTGCACTAAATGAATGTTTCCACTTTGCCATCTGTTTAACTGCTTTGCATGACTGAGCTATGTATTGTTTGAGTAAAATTTCTGGTGCCTTCTAGAACTGGAAATCCTATTTTATAGACTAAATTGTAAAATACTTTTATTTGAATTGTTACAAGAGATATCTCTTTAGTTGAGCATTATTTTACAATTTGAGATCTCAAATGAAAACGTTTAAGATTCTCATATGAAAACATTTCTATAAAAAATTTTGGTGGAAATTTGTTAATAGAAGCAATTTTTGAGGGGAATTATTGCAGTTGAGAAAAATTAAATATTAACTCCATGTACTATTGAAGTTTTTTAATACAAATTGGTTCTTGAAGGCCATTCAGAGCTTAGTATTGGCATAATATTAAAAGGTAAGTGTGAACCTTAATTATTTAATCTTTGTATATAATTAATTTGAAAAGTTAAGAAACTCATTATATGTACTTATTTCAGGAGTTAATTTTTTTCTAACTCTATAAAGAAAATAATGGGTTCACAAACCTTTAAGTAATTTGCCTTCTGTTTGTTTTATGTTGCATGACCTATTGTAATATGGTCTAAGGGTGGCAGGTAAGTGTCATTGACCCCATGCATGTTGAAAAGCTTTTGCTTTTTTGGCTATCTGTCTGTATTGCTTTAGCTTGTCTGGTTGTCAAATCAAGAACAGTGATATTAAATTGGTGTTTTAGTGTGAATGTTGCTATTTTAACTGATCATTAGGAAATTGTTAGGAAAGGGTGAAGAGAGAGCCTTAGATTGTAAATCATGCGAATTCTTGAATACCACTAAGGTTAAAACATTTGAACAGGTATTTAAGTACTTAAACTTTAAGACCTTTTCTGGTTTTAAAAACAAAATAAATCCCTGAAAATAAATCCCGAGAGAGTCACTGCATTTTTCATCAACTTCAGTTTAGTTTATGTGATATTATACAATTCATGCTACTTTATGAATAATTTAAATATTTTTCTTAAAACCAGGACAGTTCCTATGCACACATTAATTTATTGTTCTACATTTTATGAAATAATTTATGGTCTCTGATATTTTTCTAATTTTATTACATTCCTATCAATGTTCTGTTCATAATTTGGTATTGTGTGTGTGCAAGCTGGCGAAGAGTAGTAATGCTAATATCAGGACCATAATAAATTGTGGGTTTTTAGGGGAACATGTAGTTAAATAAATATTGGTTTTCTTGACCCTTCTCAACAATTTAACAAGACTATTTTAAGTGCATGTTTAGCATGAATTTTAATCAGCTTGGGGATGTTGAGCAGATTGCTGACTTGAAGGTTATTCTTTCAGATGAGGCAACTTACATTAAAGCTGTATTTTAGTTTATTTGCATCTCTTTCAAACTTGGTCTTGTATATTTTTCTGCTATTCTGTCTCCCTTTTACTCTGTCTCAAATTCCTTACATTTGCAGAATCTTGGCTCTGACACAGTCAAGATCTTGTTCAAGACTTGGCACTTGATCTTTTTATAAACCAGTCTTTAGGTTGTGGTTCAGTGAGAAGTATGAGTTTACTGTAGTGTTTAAAATATTATTTGGTCTTGGTTTCCTAATCTGGGTAGGTTTGGACCGTTATCCTTAAATTTAAATAGTTAATTTAGTGCCAGGAAAAGGTCAGAATTGCGAACAACAACAATTTCCAATCATGAAGAACTACATGTAAAGTGTTAACTTCTTACAGGCAGCTGTAAGTTAAAGAATGACGTTGCCTATATCAGCCAATGTAGAACTTTTGGTTTGACACTTACTGGTATACTGTAAGTGAAATTTAGTGAAAACATTCTGTATCCTAGGCCAGAGTTTGCCTGTTATTTCTTATTTAGATTTTTAAAATATGTTTTCTTTTGATTCTAACTTAATCAGTTTTATTTTTCATTCATTTGTCTTTTATAAAAAACTTTTATGGTAAAAGTTTACCTTATGATTTGGCTACTAGAGTTACCCATGAGATGGGTCAAAAATGGGCACCATCGTTGATGTGCCGGTTCCTTATGATTACAGAGATTAAAGCCACATTCTTTTTTTTTTTAATGAGAGAGAAACATCGATCAGCTGCCTCCTGCACACCTCCTACTGGGGATGTGCCCGCAACCCAGGTACATGCCCTTGACCGGAATCGAACCTGGGACCCTTCAGTCCGCAGGCCGACGCTCTATCCACTGAGCCAAACCGGTTTCGGCGCCACATTCTTATTGAGTAAAATATCAAGTTCTACATTTTTATTTCTAGATGAACAGTAATATTTAGGTTACCATTGCAATTTAGGTTTATTTTAGACTGTAGGTACAAAATAAAGACTCTGTCTTTACTGTAAGTCATTACTCTCTTAACTTTAGCATGTGCACACACGTGCTGTTTTTCACTTCAGTTCAACATCCATTTATGCTGAGCTTCCTGCCTGCCGACAAGTAGGTGCCGGAGATGCAAAGATACAACTCCTGCCTTTGGAGAGTTCTCAGTCTTGTGGGATAGATAGAAATGCAAATTAATAATCATCTTTGCATAGTTTACATCCTAGGTATAGCTCAGGAAGGGATTGACTTTACCTTGCAGGGAGTAGACTTTCTGATGGTGATGTTTGAGTTGTGTTGTGGAGTTGCAATAGAACATTTCAGGCAAATTTTGTGAAGGACATTGAAGAAGGAGTATCTACAAAGGCCTTTAAGGCATGAAATGACAATCCATGTTCATTGTAACATACTGTTACCTGTTCTTGAAGTACTAGAAAGAGGGTCTCTTTCTTAAAACAAGCTATACCTATAGGATAAGATTTTATTTGAAAATCTTGATAACGATTCCATTAACATATAAGCTCCGATTTGCCCCATAAAATTTGGCAGCACTTATGGTAATGACAGCATATAGAAAAAGCACTGAAATGGGGCCCGTATACTCTCTTCTTGTTCGTGGAATTATTTTATCATGACGCTTTAAGATACTAGTCATTCTAATGACAAATCGTTAGCCAAATAACTAGTTGTGTGTGTGTGTGTGTGTGTGTGTGTGTGTGTGTCTGTCTGTCTCATTTGTGGTTTCTAGGAGAAGAGGGACTTTTATTTTTATGACCCTTGCCAATCTTATATAGTGCTTTGTAAATGATAGAGTTCAGTGTTTTACTCTTGATTCACTTATTTTCAGTTAGACCACAGTGCGAGAGTAAAAATAGGTGAATGTTTGTAAATGAGAAATAGAACCTTACTTCTTATGATTCTTTATTTTAATGCCTCTCCATTTAATCATACATTTCCTCTAATTCTTCTGTCTTTTGTGTTACCTGTCTCCCCTCCTCCCCATCTTTTACAACTATTGATACCCACTTTTTTAGTCTAACTTTATTTTCCATTTTAACTTTTGTATATTTTCTATTGCTTTTGCTCTGTACTTTGAAATATTTTTATTCTTATGGTCGTTCCTTATTTTTTTTTTCTAAAATGATATAGGATTTTATTTGTTCAAACATGAAAATGCATAATGGTGTCCTTTAACTCATGCTGGAGGCATATTTATATTTACCATCTCTGTATCTTCTCATTCATGCAACAAATATTTATTATAGAAAATCTGCTAGGTACTGAGTTTGCATACCATTCAGTGGTATGTACTGTACATTGAGCTCCCTGCCTTGATGAAATTTATGGAGTTAGAGTATAAATATTTATTGAGCGAATGAATGAATGGATGCAAGATTAAAGCAGATAGACCCTTTATCACATTATCATTTTATGTGATTTGCTTTTTATCTTTTTTTTTTGTAACTGATCTTTGCCTCTTTTTGTACCATAACAGCTTTAATTTTTAAAAAACCTTTATTATTGAGAGTATTACAGATTTCCCCTTTGCCCCTCCCAGCTTCAATTTTAACACTTATTTTCAGTGACTCTTTATAGGAAAGTGGGGTGAAATTATTACAATATTTACTTTTTACCTTCAAACAGTAAGAGCAACGGAAACATGCTGTAATTGCCCTTGAACAGCTTTTAAATAAGCCTGATGAGTTTGCACTGTGCTTACTCCCAGTAGTAGATACATCCTTTTGCAATCAAATAACTGTCCCTTTGTTAGCCTGCTAAGTGGCAGGTTTTTCCTTCAACTAATACAATTTTTAATTCTTTGCTCTGAAAAATCAAAGTGACAAGTCTTGGGTGCATTATATGATACCATTTTTTTTGAACAAATGCTTTCTTTTATGTAGCCTTTCCCCCTCCCTAGTATCTCACCTTTTGCATGACTTGCTGTCAGTAACGTAGTGCTTACCTGTCTGCTATTTTCTGTTTGTCTTCATTTCTACAGCAGTCTTCAGCAGCTTTCAAAATTATCAATGTGACTCTCCTGTGGCAGTCTAAAACTGTTCAATCAGTGTGGTGCTGGGGGCTGTCCCACCCTTAGGGGAAACTGAAGTCTTTGCCTTTGTTTTTAAGTTTCTTGTTATTTATCAAATCTTTAATAATCATGAATCACTCCCAAGGTCTATTCAAATCTACTTGATAATGTTTCTTTGTCTGTAAGTCTCACTGTCACATTTTTCTTTTAACAACTAGTCACCACACCAAAAATACATAGTAATTGCAAACTTTATAAATACCTTTTGGTCTCTAACAGTCAAGATATTGTCCTTTGTCATGAATTCCCTCTTCATGAATTTAAACTATGTGTCTCCTATTGGTGTTTGTCTATAGTTTCACAACCCACGTGAAAAAGTATAAAGTTGGCTGTTTTTGCATGTAAAGAGTATTTTCTCTGCTGCACCTGGTGTAAGTATAAAAGTTACAAGGTGTACTTTTTAAAAGTGTGTGTCTAACCATGACTTTGGAGAACAAGGTCTGGCTAAATGTGAGAGGATATTACTGCTAAATGACAGATTGATTTTTAAAGTCATTTAGCTACAATATCAGTATTCGCTCATAATAATACCTGTATAGCTTTGGACACAGTTTTTAATTGGCTCCTCTTATGTAATTATTTTGTCAAATAGAATTTTCATTCAAAAAGTGCATGATTTCTGAAAAGAAATTTGAAAAATAAGGGAACAGATATGAACACAAATTGTTAAGTTGGCTTTGCATGTAAATGTTACTGTGTTATGTTTTTGTAGTACTGTCTTAGGTATGTTGAAATTAAAATTTGGTACTGTAATTATTGATTTAAAAAATGTGTGGTATGTTTTTGACTAGTTGGCAGGTTTAACAAATGGGATTGAACTATGACTTATCCCAAGCACAAAATAAAGTTACAGTAGTTAGGCATCTGGATTCCTAGTTTCATGTATCAACTTAGTTTTCTTAAATTTTCTAAGGAAAGGAATAAATATAGATCATTGTGTATTTGTGGGTAGGGGGTGTAGGTACAGAAAACTCTTAGGTACTAGTTTTATGTAACAGAGATCAGAAATGTTCTTAATTTATATTATAAATTAGGTAAACAAAAGAGATCAGAAATGTTCTTAATTCATATTATAAATTTGGTCTTCCTCCCCTACCCCCATAAGAGAAAATTTTAGCAGGGAGAAATCCTGCCAGCATAATTCCTCTCTAAAACATTATGGTAATCATAATGTTTATCATTTTAAGTGCTGTATGCCTTATCTGTAGTAACATGGCCTAGTTGAAAAGATACAAGAAAAATTCAGTTTCCTCACAGAGTGCCGACCTCCCCTCCCCAAGAAATGTATTAAATAAAAAAGATTTATCCTTAGGAAAAAAATGACCACGTTATTAAAAACAGAATTTCTGTTACCTCGAGTCTAGCAGAGAGAAATCTAGATTTAGTCACATTAACATATGTTCTGTGGCTAACACTGCAGGTGGTGGAAATACCCATATGTTTGTGTTCCTTGTCATGCTTTTTGTAACTGTAATTCTTCATTTTTCTCTCACTCATCCTCAAGGACGGAGGAGCGCAGTTTTTGCTTTAGCTTTAAAAAGTTCAGTGGTAACATTGCAGCTGAAGCATCTAGCTTTCAGCGGCCCAGTGATTCTGGAGCAGTTTCATACTTTGAACTCTTCTGTGCTGAAATCTTGACCCTGTGTTCATCAGCAGAGAAGTTCATTTGGTACAGAATTTAAAGTGGTCCTAGAAAAGGGCAGCATCTAGAAAGGATTCTTTTAAAAGTTTTTGTATCAATATTCAGTCATTAAAATGAACTTTATAGGAGAATAAAGTCATTTCAGTCTTAAACATAGATTAGCAAGATATAGTAGGCCTTTCATTTCTCTTGCATTAAAATAGATCATTACTCATGAATTTACAGTCATTACTGATAGTGACGACTGTAATGAAAAGGCAGTTGTTCGTGCTATCACAATTTAAATGAAAATTCTCAAATTCACTTAATATACCAAGTCATTATTTGTGTCTACAATAAATAATGTTTGGTGTTCCCTTGCTGCTTTGTGATATTTACAAACTTGAGGCAAGTTCAAGTATAGAACTATGGAAAAATTATCAATCTTTTCCAAGAAGTGCAAAGTTAAATGAATAAAATGTTAGTCATCTTTAGAAATTTGGATTTAGAGTTGTATGTGTACTAAAAAATTCATGTGACTGTGAATTTTCTTGTGCTTTCCTGCTGTTTAGATGCCCAGCCTACAGAGTCCGAGAAGGAAATTTATAATCAGGTGAATGTAGTGTTAAAAGATGCAGAAGGCATCTTGGAGGACTTGCAGTCATATAGAGGAGCTGGCCATGAAATCCGCGAGGTAAAGCACGCCCATTTTCCAGTCATTAGAATGCACTGTGTCCCACCCTCTTTTTAATCTCTCTCGTTTTCTATACTTTAGAACTCTAGTGCATAGTAAAAATTGTATTTAAAGAAAGATCACCTGCATTATTTCAAAAGTGGTTGCACAATATAAGGGTAAAAGGAAAACAATGTTCTATAAATATGTAGTTTATGTATATTAAAGAAAATTGTGTGTTATTGGTTGCTCTCACACCTGAAATTTACTGTATCCATGGGGGGCCTACTGGTACTTTTATGGAGGGGAGGAGAGAACACAACTTTCTTTAGCTTTTTGTTCTGTCGTCTGTTTTTCCCGCTTCTTCTAAGCTTCCCTGGGAAACGCTGAAATCATCCTTGTGGTCTGGACTCCCCAACTCTGTCTGACTTTGAGACGGAACTTCCTGTCACTTGCAGGGAGGAGAGCAAATGTTCAGTGTGGTCTCCCTCCACTTGCTTCTCCCGAACCTCTGACCTGATCCAGGTTTCTTCCCATTCCTCTCATTCTCCATTTCTTCTGTTTAGGAGAAGCTTAGCCTGTCTCCTTCTTACCAAGAACCAAGACTGTGTTCTCTAACATTCTTCTCCATTTTCCTCTGGAATTTCAATTCTTTCTTAATTCCATCTGGTTTTTTTTTGTCTTTTACTGACTTTTTCTCCTCAGCATAAACACATACTCAGCTGTCCTGTTCTACCCAAAGAAACCTAGCCTGTGGTCGGCAAACTGCGGCTCGCCACCCGCATGTGGCTCTCTGGCCCCTTGAGTGTGGCTCTTCCACAAAATACCGACTTCTGCGCATGGGCCACGAACTTTCAATCGCACTGTACGTGTGCGCCCCCACGTGGTATTTTGTGGAAGAGCCATTCTCAAGGGGCCAAAGAGCCGCATGTGGCTTTCGAGCTGCAGTTTGCCGACCACCGTAGCCTCTTTTCCTCATTTAAGATACAGTCTATTAAATAAACAATGCTTATTCTCTAGGATAAACCACTAGAGATGGAGATAATGTTTTGATATATGTGTTGACGGTTTCAATATTTTTGGAAATGAGAGTGAGAATACCGGCTCCATGACACCCTCACATTGACACTGACCAAGCACCCTTGTGCATGTTGGGCTGTGATTGGTGCTGTACTAAAACGTTCTCTAGCAGCAGTAACGCTGATGTGAAAGGAGAAGGAACCAGCATTATAAGGAGAACCATGACATGTTGTGGCAGGGCAGCCATTGGCTTCAGTTCTGAATCCAGCAAGGCCAGGAGACAGTTAACTGTGCTTGGTTGTGACAGTGGGTGGCATTTGCTGGAGCATTTGATAGTATGAGAATGAGCAGATATTTGAAATATCATTTTTAGATCCTTGAAAGAAAATTTGGCTAGACTTCTCAAGAGAAGAAAGCAAATTTAAAGTTTTTATCTATTTGCTCATTTCCTGAATAATAAATAAAATAAACAAATTTCTACTTGCTGTAAAACATTACTGAGACTGGGCTTGAGGCTAAAAGGATTTTTCATATACAGCAGGATAATATTACAGTTCCTTTGAAATATTCATATGAAATAAAGATTGTCAGATATTTTTAACATTAAAATATTTCTACATAGTCATATAAATGTAATTTACTTTGGACTCCTATAGTGTTTAAGTCTCATTAAAAATTTTTTATGTTAAACAATCAAGGACATTTGCATATAGTGGTAAGCTTATAAAGCAAATTGCTTAAATAATATATAGCCCATTTATTTAGTTCGGAGCTAATTTATTCAGAGCTTCTTCTAAATTTACCTGGTTTCAATTTTTGTTTGTGTTCCTGTTTTTTGGTTTTGTGTAGACGGAGCTAGAGTGCTAGCGCCGTGGGAAAATCTAAACATCAGTACCTCCTGATCGTGTTTATGAGTAGCCCCCACACCCCGCCATGGGTGTGAGTTTCAGCTTTCAGATGGTGTGTTTAGCTTGTTTGAAGATGTCAGAGAAAGCAAACCAGGTTGTTGAAAAAGATATTAAGTTTCATAAAGGGTTAAGAAAAGCATCTGTATGCAAAATAAAGATGAAAATAAGAAAATACATTTCTTTGGGAAGAACCCTTTAAATTAATAAAAGATTGCCTAGTGGCTTGAAAGACTGGGCATAGAGAAAGGCTTTATATTATATTAGGGTCTCTAGATTGTGGTTTATTTCCTCCCCTTTCCGATTTGAAACGAGTTTTTACCTTCTTATTCAGGAAAACCCAAGAAAACTTGGATTCCAGAATAGTATTTTTTAGTTATAGGAAATAAGTGTGACAATTTCTGAATCCCTTCTTTCAGGTTGATTTGGGTCCTTAATTTGGTAGGTCTCCTAAAGCTACTTTGGACCCTGGAATTGGAATTATTCAAAGTTTCATACCCTGTTCCACAGTTGGCATCTTATTTCATTCATTACCTAACTTTCTGGTTTCTTTTTATTTTACTAAAATAATTTCTTGAAAGAAAACTGCTAAGAAAGCCTGTCTGTGATATGCAAAACAATATAAATGGTTTCTTTTTAAAAGGTATCAAGGCGTAATATATTTAACAAGCATGTATGTGTCATCCTATTTCATTATATCCATGTCCATTGCAAGGATAACTAAAAGTGTGTTATGATAGGGTTAAGTATCCAGGGAGTTGAGAAGGCCCACTCTCAGCATTCCTGGGTCCATTATTCTGTATTTTATAGATTGTACCACGGTTTCCAACATTTGCTAAGACATATATTTTAATGTAAAAAGAATGCTGCTGTGACATTTAGAACTCAACTTTTTTTTTTTTTCCCTTTGTATTTTGAAGGCCATCCAGCATCCAGCAGATGAGAAGTTACAAGAGAAGGCATGGGGTGCTGTTGTCCCACTAGTAGGCAAATTAAAGAAATTTTATGAATTTTCTCAGAGGTTAGGTAAGTTGAAAGTTTTGTAATTATGACTTCCCTAGTGAAAAATATGTTTATTGATGCCACCAGAAGTAATTTAGAGTATTTTATGTTCACATTTCTATATTAATGCGCTACATATGTGAAGCAAGTTTGTTAGACTGTAGGATATTACAGCATAAACCTACGTCTTTATTTAGACTGTTGTCTTCGACACATTATTCCATAAGGAAAGCTCTGATTTCAATGCAGTATGAAGGGTCCTAGCGAGAGAAACCTCTTGGTAGAAGTTCTCTCCAGCAAACCCTCTCCCACATCCAGGAACTAATCCATAGGCTCTGGAATATTTAGATTTTGATGTTCTTAAAATCATTGCTGATTAGGATCAGTTAGTTCATGTATCTAAAACTACAAGTTGGGCACTAGGGAGCCAATGGGAAAAGCTACTGTGAGATCTGAATTGTGCCTTCACTACAACCAGTAAACACAGTTGGAATTCCCTTCCTTGGAGAAGTGGCCAAAGTAAGATGTAGACATCGAACTGCGGGTGTAATTTGAAAGCCGTACCTTGGAAGGGCTTTCTGTGTGAAATTGTGGCCATACGGGAGGAGCAGGATAGGTATGTCTGAAATTTGAAAAACTTAAATTGAAGTTCTTGACACATGTTTTATATAGTTTTGAGTTTTAAATCTCATAAACATGTTATGTATTTTAAATGAATGAGTGCAATTTGGTAAGAAACCGTGCTTTAAGATACGGAATCAACCTGGGGGCTCAGGAGCTAAGTTTAGGCCTGAGATGTGATTTCTTTGGGCCATAGTTTAAAAAAATTCCTCATCAGATGCCAGGTTTAAAAGTGGTAACTGTTTGTGTTTTGTTGTTAAGTCTCCAGTTGTTTAATAAAATCAGTAGCGTAGGCACCAGTTGGTCAGCTGATCTGCATTCAGGTGGCCGGAGCTAAGTGACAAGCGCCTCTGTTTATTACGTAGAGCATGTGCTTTCTAGTTTAGTAGGTTCCCATGGCTTCCTAGTTTTTATATCTTGCTTTTCATATTCTTTTATATTAGTTACTTGGCCATTTGTGTTTGTAACTTTTCCTTTAAAGTGGAAGTTCTTTTTTAAAAAAAAACAACCCTATGTTTTTAAAAAAATAAGAGAATTGCTATTTTTCTTAGATACAGTATGCACTGTTAAATGTGAAGACAAGTAAGAGCTGAGATAGAAGTATTTGGTAAATTATCCTTTTCTTACTAAAGATAAGAATTGTAATTTATTTTCCCAAGCACAGCAGTCAGCTCTTTCACGCTATTTGCCTTTCAGTCAAATATCTACATAGTCTGTAGCTTGGTAGCTTCAGACCACGGGCCTTGGTCTTGTAATCGTGGTGGTCATGACTCCTTCATATTTAGAGTTTTCTGTGCTGCTGGTTTCTGGCTGCATTTATAGTTGAATTGCTTTAGATGGTGCACTTGTCTTACTAAGGCTCATTCTAGTCTCAGCATTTACCAACCAAAAAAGAATAATTATAAAATAGGCCAAACCAGTCAGGCTTGCGTGTTTTCTTATGTTTTACCTACTGGAATTGAATCGGGCTCCTGGTATGGGTTCATCGTGGGTGCTGTGTTCCATTTTAGCAGAGGCAGGTGGTAACACAGGTAATAAATAGCAAAGAGCATCAGTTTCCATGCTGTCACCTGGAAGTCTTGAGCCTTCATCATGGTACTCTGGGGGCCTCTGTAAAGTTAAGAGCAAAGTATGCATTTAAGATCTGACGGCTTACTCCTCATGTCTTGTCCAGTAACCTGACTAGTAATGTTTCTAGTTTTCTTGCTTACAGGATGCATATCTTTGTTTGCCTGTGATAGCAACTCAATGTTTGTTGAATGAATGATGCATTAATGAATATACATAACTGATATATCAAATGGGTGTTGGGTATTTAGGAGAAGCAATAAATGGATTTTAGGCTTTGGTGGCATAATGGCCTATGTTTGAATTCTGGTTTGTTAGCTGTGTGGTCTTGGCCACATCACTTAAATTCTCTGAACTTTAGTATCCTCTCTGGCCTTCCAGTCTGTTGAGTCTTCTGCTTTATGTCCACTAAACCTCTCTAGTCCCTTCTCTTCCTGCCTCACTGTTGAGCCAGAGATGAGGATATACAGCACAGACAACACACACAGTATCACACAAGCATCAAATGAGCATGGTCCTTCAGTATCCTGCAATCTCAAGGAGAGGATGGCTTGGCCTGTGTGCTGCAGATATACCATGGGTGCATTCCAGAAGGGGGACCTTGATTCCTTGTGGCTTATTTATGGAGGGACAGGGAAGGGGTCACTGAATAATTTGGAAGATACTGAGCTTTGTCCATAGCCCTTACCCTTGCTGGCCTGGGAAACACCCTGTTCTTGGTTGTTGGTCTCAGGCCTTCCTGGTTGAGACATAACCTGAGGGAGGTTACCTGATCAGACAGTAGACAAACTGTGTTGTCTCTCCTCAGTCTTCCTCCTGTTCCAGGGACTTATTACAGGGACCACCTCCAAGGGTCATAATGAGTGAGTTTATGCACCACGTTGAATCCTTGTCACTGGGCTAAATTTACCAAAATCTATTAAAAGGTCCCAAAGTGCCCACAGTAATTATGGTCTTGTCTCTTGGCTGTTTGTCTTAAATCCCCCACAGACCACATCCTTTGGGTTCTCTTCTGAGGATTCAGTGACTGGTCTTTGATAGTAGGTGGATGGCAGTTGGTGAGATTAAATGGCTCTTGTCTCTCAAGAGGAACTTTCTGCAGGGGCCTTCCTTTCTTGGTCCTGAGCTTCAGCCATTCATAGAAGTTCTCCATCCCAACTCAGCCATGTGACTTGATTCCACCGCTAGGGGGCAATGTCTCCTGTCTACCAGAGTGGTAGAGTGCTTTGAATGCTGAAATTAACCCCGAGACTTTATAAAATCTAGTAAATGCAATTTTTTTTGGTAACAGTCCAGTTTTTTTTATAATATTGGTGGGTGTGTTTTCTTAAGTGGTTTTTCCTGCTCTCATCTCTCTCAAACTGAGGCAGGAGGTCCCGCGGGGGTGAGGCCAACGGAGTCCTAACGAAGCATGCCCGACTCCGGAGATTGGTTCAAGACGCGGATCTGAGTTTGATTGTTTAAGTGCAGGGACATATATAACATTCCAGACCAATCAGAAGTTTACAACATCCTTAGGGCAACCAATGGTAGGAAAGATAGGGTACTATGTAGGGGCTCTAGGGGGTTTACTCAGGCGGGTGCTGCCACTTCCCAGTGTGCCGAGGAAGCTTGTATAGGCGGAGTGCGCTCACGCCATTGCATTTGCCACTGCACTGAGATAAATGTCCTGAGCTCTTCCCACATCAAACTTTGCTTTCTACTTACATTAATGTTGGCACACAGAATGAATCTTGGGAGAAATAAACCATTTTTCAGAGTAGCCAAAAAACGTTATTCCTCTTAATTGATTTTTCACATCCATGTTTCAGCTCCATGAGCCAGCCATAGGCCTACAATCCATTCTCCACACTGCAGGTGAGGTGGAGAATTTAAATGCTAACCTGTAATGCCCCTGCTTACTTAGTTTATCCAGGGATATCAGGATGACAAGGCCAGGATGCTTCATATGGCACACACATTATGTGCATACTAGAGGCCTGGTGCACAAATTTGTGCACATTGAAAGGAAATTAATTAGAAGAAATGTTTTAATATCACTGTTTGCCTGTTCTCTATAATAGAAGGGTCAACCAAATTCACGGTCAACAATGACAGATGGAAACACACATGTGGGATTGGCGCCAGCGAGATACAGAGTCTCCTATCTACCTATTCCAGGAATTCTGTGAGGACCAAATGAGATGAGGCATGGGAAAACGCTTCACAGACATTTGGTTAAAGTGTGAAATGTTTCCACCTGGCTATAAAGCAAGTCATGTTCCTGGGCTGAAGAAACTGCAAGGAGGCTAGTTGCTAGGGAGAGGAAGCTGGGCATTGCTATGTGACGTCATTAACAGGCACCCACAGCGACTGTTTCTGGGCTGGGGCTGGGCTATGGGCCGCATTTTGTGCCATGGGGTCTCAGCAGGATTGGCTGCAATTTGGTGGGGTGTCAATCCAGGGTGGTGGTGGGGCCTGTGTCCCACTTGGGGGAAGCCAAGTGTTGCTTTGTCGGCGCCAGGTCCATGGTGCCGTTTCTTTGTAAATGGCCAGTGCATGTCACAGTAGCTCCTGTGTTGAGCGTCTACCCCGTGGTGGTCAATGCATATCATAGCGATATCGGATGGTTGGAGGGACACTTCGCATATTGGCCTTTTATAGAGAGAGAGATTGTTTTAATCTCCACGTGCTCTATCCACTGGTATTGGTATTGCAATGTGAGTACTATTTCATGCTCTGGTCCCGGCCCTGTTTGTTTGCACGC